TTAAACAAAGTGGTGACATTAGGCATACTTGTCTTAGTACCTGACTTCAATGAGATTGCTGCTAAGTTTCATTGAAGGGATTGGTATGTGCTGACTAAGAATCACAACACATAAATAACTCAGACATTACACAACTCCATGGTGGGACTCTGATGCAGAGAGAAATATCTGAGTGATCTGAAAACCTCTTTTAAGAGATAAAAATAAATACCAATTCATAGATTTTGGGTACTTCGAACATGGTATCTTCAGGTTCATCGCCAGTTGGCTCCGGCATCTCACGGAGAAAATCCACAAAGTACGGCTCAGGAAGGATACATGAGGCTGCCTCGGAGCCAATGTTTTCTTCGATTGCACGGATAAGATGTACATTAAACCACTGCTCATCTTCGGGAGTTATAAACCTGAGAGAAAAAAGTAGGAGTGAGAATGCAAAAGACAAAAGCATCTTTTCTAGCCGAACACTTTGCTTTCCCTCCTCTCGGCTCCCATCCTGCACCTTCCTCACCTCAGGACGGGGAAACAGTATGTCCTGCCTTTCGACAAGACAGGCATAACCCCATCCAAGAGAGTTAGAACATCAATGACATTACTTGCGGAAAACACAGGGGGATCACGCCGGTGAGGTCAAAGTTTCCTAAAACGTGCAATAGGAGTGCAGAAGTGCTGGCCAATGGCGGGCGTGTGTCCTCTTTCTGGGATTGTGGACGCACAGTGCAGGAAGGTCCTTTTCAAACTTACAATGTCACAGGGGGAAGAGAGGAAGAAGGGGGAGCAGGAGGTGACAAGGACCACCTACGTGTGAGACGTGGCAGGTGCTCTACAACTCGGGGAGATTGGCATTAGCATCCATATGTCATAGGTGGAGAAACCGAGGCTTGGAAAGATGACTGAATTTAACTTTCATGGGATCGCTTAACTTTAATGGGGTGAAACAAGATTTCGCCATGCAAAACCTACACAGAGCTAACAGTTTTTAGAAAATATACTCAACTAAAATTTGCCAAGAAATTTACCAACTCTCTGGTGATGCGGTGATTTATAAAGATGTATTGTTGAATTAATACTCGAGTAAATTGGCAGAGCATTTTTAAAGGCGGTCAGCAGGTGCCATCAATGTTTCACGAGCCCCACAGCAAGTTAAGTCTCCTTGTTCCGCTTATCTGAGCAGGCAATGTGAGAACCAATCTAACAGTATTAACATAAACTTCTTAGGTCGTACGTTTAAACGCAAGTGCTGTAATACGTACCTGTCTGCAATTACTCTGTTGCACTCGTGTTTGAAAAGTGACAGGAGAATAGGAATTGAATCACACTCCTCAGCTTTCACCGTCAACATTCCTTGCCAAATTCTGGAAAGATCTCGAAGATTGAAGATGTAATGAAATTTAGAAGGAGTTGGCAGCATCTTCACCTAGACATGAAAAAAATTTAATACTTTTGATTAGTTTTCAGATAAAACTAAAAATAGAACGGCTTTTAGAACTATTCTATCTCACAAATCCATTTACATAAAATAGGCTGAGTAAATAAATCAAGATTAAGTTCACATTTTTGTCACAGCCCTGACAGAAAAAAAAAAACACATCATAAACCAACATAAAATTTAAAAGACTATAAGCCCTTGAGTAAGATGGATTTGAGAATAATGCACTAGATGCAGATTCCAGCGCCCTGTTCTACATCATTAGTTGACTTTGAACAAGTCGCTTCCCCTGAGTTCTTAAGAACTCTGTGAATTACGGGAATAATCCTTCCTAATCACTGTTAACCTTAGCAGTGTATACGCGAAGTATGTCATAACAAAAAACCGAACGTGAGCTGGTTCTTACGCAGGTAAGAACAATGAATGTTCACTTTTAAAGTCAATAATGACTCTCTTCTACAGATTGCTTTGATTAGGGACCTTATTGTGTTTGGATTTCCGTAAATATATTTGCATATCATAACCTGGATTTCACTGTGGGGATTCAAACTCATCAACTCTCTTTCACGTATCTGTGTATCTATACTAAGTTGACAGGCATGTCTGACATGCAGCTGTAAGTGCAGTAATAGGTGGTTTTCCGTTTTTGTTTGAGCACAAAGACTGTGCTCAGCTATGCTAATTTACTTACTATTTCTACGAACCTCTAGGATATAAAAAGGCAAAGCTATGATAATAACACTCTCTAACCCAGAGAGATACCAGTGAAGGGATAAACTCAAGATACTCTAGGTATAGAAAGCATTGCTGGCCATTTATAAAGATCATACTTGATGTCATTAGCATCATTTTTGAAAGTGAAAAAATGACAGTTCTGGGGATACAAACTTCCCACACAACTAATTCAGGAAAGCAAATGCCTTCTTCAGTACCTGCTCATAAAATAAGCCCTTTCTATATTGAAAAAGTACCCTATTGAGTTTGTAGAGTAATTTTTACAGGCTCATTCACAGTGAAGTTAAAACAGCAGGTAGCACGGGGAGATGGAATAAAAAGAAGGGTTATTTTATCCATTACCTTTCAATTTCCCTCCTTGCTCAGTCCATGGCAAACTAAAATGTTCACTTTAACCCACTAAAATATAAAACATACATTTATATTACAAATATGCAAAAATTCTCAAAGGGATAAGGTTCTGTGAATATTGTTTTTTTTTCTTTATGGTAAAAGACTACAGCTATGATGGCAGCCATTAGCAGTCATTAAAGAGAACCTGTAAAAAGAATTCCTTTCTTTCCCTCTTCTTCACATAATTTGTTAACCTGCTTCCTTCCTTCTCTTCTAATACTTCCCTTTGCTTTTTGTCACCTTTTTCTTTTGTCGCCTGCTTCTGCTTTAAAGCTACACAAAGTGATACAAAGTTGGGGTGCCAGACAAGGCATGCATGGATCGAGTGCTTTGTGAAGACGGGAGTTTTGAAGAGATATGAAGAAGGCTGCGTATCTGCGGGTGGGAAGGGGAGGAGGAGTCATTCAGTTTTCAGTGGCTGAGCACCTGCCACTGCTCTTAAGAAGATACCACGGTAAACAGGACAGCTAAATCTGCTACCGTCAAAGGAGCTTCCGTTCTGGGGGGAGCCTGGGAATAAACAGGAAACAAATATATTTATAAACAGGCAAACAGACAAATAATAATGATAAAAGCCACAATAAAAAAATGAAGTAGGGTCAGGAGATGGAGAATGACTGAGATAGGGACATGGCAGTTATTTTAGAAGACAATCGGGGAAAGTCCCCCTGAAAATAAGAAGAATGAAAATGAGCCGAACGAAGTGCCAGGGCCCAGCAGCAAGGACAAGCCTGGCCACTCGGGTCGGGCAGAACGCAGTGGGGAGGGAGGTGAGCAGGGCCAGCTCAGTGTGGGTTTACCGTGAGTGTACCTGGGAATCTACTGGTGGTTTTAAGAAAGAAGAATGACCTCTGGGTTACTTTTTTAAAATATCATTCCAGGACTGAGTAAAGAGCAGACTCCAGGAGGACAAGAATAATGCAAGGAGGATGGTTAGGAGTAGGAAGACCGCGCGGTCCAGAGGACAGGTGACAGGAGCACGGACCAGGGCGGTCCCTGGGGCGGCGAGGAGTGCTCGGCTTTGAGACACATTTTGAAGGTGCCGTCTC